ACCCTACCAGACCCCTCCAATCCTTCCGGTCTTCCCTTCCCTCCCGGCAATTTTCGTCTCCTCCCGATATTCGTAGGAGTATGGCGGATCGGAGATAGCAAAATGAGAGGAAGAGTGCTTTTTTTCCAAGCTTAATATGTCCCACTAACGGGGTGATCCAGCCACCAAACATCTGCACCGACCCCAAGTTGTTCCCCAATACCATCCATGATCTACTGGAGTATCTCATCCAGGCCCTCATCTTCCATTTTCCTTTCTAATTTCTCCACCAATAATGTTCATTTGCGAGGGGGAGGGGGGGGTCCTTCTCTCCGGTGCTTTGCTTTTTTCTCTTTTCTCACCTTATCGAAAAGCCCCAGTCTCATTTCACTCTAATCTCTTTATACCGCTAGTGATGACTCGTATCTTAATCCTCATCGTTCACATCCGATGAGCCTACCGGTACTCGAGTAGAACGCGACGCAAAAATGCATCAACCGGAAAGAATACTGCACGAGCACAAGTACTCGTGCTGAAGAAGACATGAGAGTAGGTAGGAAGGAAGTACCCGAAAACAGGGGTCGTGAGTCCGTCCGAGGGTTCAGTTGCGCACGAATTTTTGCCATGTACGACGAGCATTTGGCAAATCCCTGTATTCGGGTACTTCTTGCCCGCTAGGAGCAGTAACCAAGGGTGTCATCCGCCATCCTCAGTCTTCCCTCCCTTCCCCAATCCACCCGTACATACATAGAGTACGAGTACATCCTGTGCTATATTTTCAACTTCCACTACCGGTACTATAATATCCTGGGAAAATCAAAGGATAAATTTTAGCGCCCTTGGTACTGTACTGTACTGTACCCCGGTGCGAGTATATCAGAATGATTTATATGCAGCGGAACAGATCCCATTCCTCACCTGGTATACTGCCCCGGGCACTAAACTGCGGATTGACGTTAGTGACCCTCCGTAGACCCGGAATTACAGCCTCGGATCGGGCGTTTTATGCACAGAATACCTGTACTCGAATAATTGTACTGCGCCAATCCATAATCGGGGAAAACTTTAATACACACGCCACCACCCCCTTCCCCATCCTTGTTCTCTGTCTCTGTATTCAACCCCCATGCCACCCTTTCGCAGAGCCGTACGGGTGCAGCACGGGCGCAGTCTGTTCTCCAGATAGAAAATTACCCCTACACCCTTCCTGGCTTCTACCGTACCCAGCAACTCGCATGGTCACATCACAAAATCACAGAAAAACGAGGATCAATCATTTCCCACACTTTCTGGATCACCTCAGACAGTACTCGGGGATGAACGCGGGTGACCGGACACTCAGGGATTAGGAGGTATCTTGATCAAGCAGTTTCCGTTCAGATTTGGTTTCTCTTTCCATTCCCTACGAGGGTAACAGCAACGGCGAAGGGGTTCCAGAATCCCTGGTTCCCCGACCAACCTCCATACCCCAGTGCCGGTACTTCTACACCAGAGTGGGGGTAAGAAAGAAACAAGTACTCGGTAAGCTTACCCGAGACTTCTAGCATTTTCCCAAACCTTAAGCAACTCAAGCTGATCTGAAGAAGAAGAGTCTTGCGATGGATAGTTGTTCTCTTAAGGTCCGTTATGCACGTGGCGGGGCGTTCAAGGCATGCACTACACTTGGTTCATACCCCTCCATCCCCGCAGTTTGACTCCCGTACTTGGCACGGCTCTATTACCGATCTAACCACTTACAGCTCACTACTATTCTCCAAATATAATTCGACAAAGTGCCGGTAGAATATACAAGTACCACACCAAATCTTAGAGACTCTTTTCTCTCTGCTCTCTCTCCTGAAAGAGCTTAGGTACAGTGCAGTGATGTATGTGCTTAAGAGCTTAGTACGGTACATATTCTGGTGCTGTACTGATGACCAACAAGAAGCTTGTCACGAGAAAGAACAGGCTTGGGAGGCAGGAGGAGGACGCAAATGCACAAAGATAAGGGAGCTTGAGCAAGAAAGCAAGCAGGGGGAAAACAGTCAAGTGCCGGACAGGAGACACAGGGAACCAACTACTCGAGTACACCGCGATAACATTCTAGTTCGCGTCACGGTTGGTTGGTGCATAGCTCCCCCTCCTCCTAAACGGCATATGGTACATTGTGTGATACAGAAATTGCGAGGCAGACCTCCTCGTTCCAACACCAGAGTGGTGTGTGGGCTCGTGTGGGGCAATTCGAAATGCCACAGTTTACGTACCGTGGGTCCGATTCTCACCCCCACTCTCCCGCCCCAAAAGTTATACTGCGACTAGGATCGAGTCTGCAGAATAAAGAGAGTGGGCGAGTGGAGAAATGTAGATGGATAACTTAATGCGTGGTGGCAGCAAGGCGTTGCAGCCTGCAAATGTTATTTCCTTTTTGCCTCTCCTCCTGCCGTGATTATAACACAGTACCGATACTCAAGTCGTTAATCAAAAGGTCATAATCCGATCCCATCATCGCGAAAATAAGACTGTCATGATCGTCTCCATTCTCTATTGTGCCCTGCCAGACCCCAATCCCAACAACCCTTTTCGGAGAGAGAAGGCTTAGGATGGCATCCATTACAGGGGTGTATGTTTAATATCATGGTTTGATTGTACCATTTACTTGTACAGTACAGTACACAAACTTGGACCTCGCCCACACCAAGACATTAGCTTGAAAACATAGAAACAAGAGGGTAACAATATCCGGTACTCGAGTACCGTACTGTGGAAAATAGTGAAGTACTGTTTTGGAAAGGATTCTATTATTTTATTTTTCCCACAATTTTTTGTGTGCTTTCAACTCAATTTACTGGGCCAGATGTTGTGATTGCCTTGGGAGTTAAAAAGCATCCTAGATGCGGTTCCCGATTGGGAACCCATGTGGAATATGTCTTAGGTCCCCAGTTTCGATCAATCTGGTCGTGTCATTTCTTTACACCAAGAGCCAGCCCAAAAAAAGGAAATACTTATCATACATTTTGGCAAAGCAATGAGCGCCGAAAAGTAACAGTTGCAATTGTTAAAAATTAAAATATGTATACTCCCGCTTAATCCTGTTTTTTTTTCTTTTTCTTTTCTTTCTTATTTTTCCTCACCATTCAACAGATGTTCTAAAAAAAACATGCTTTCGACAACAGATTTGTCTTGGTGCAGGCGAGGTCCAAGTATGCGACGGGATCATATTAAACAAACACCCCTGCAAGAAAAAATCGATGGTATCCTAAACCCCTTCTCCCTTTCGGAGTGAGTATAGTACTCGTACACAGAAGGAGAGGAATACCGGTACTCGACAACCGGTAGGAAGAACGAGGTGTTTTTTTTTTCTTTTTCTTTGTCTTCCCTTCCTCTGTTCGTTCATTCCCTGCGAACGCTCGCCCTTTTTCCCTTTCCTCTTCTCCTGGTTGCTTGTCCTGCGAGAATCATGTCATTATTCTTTGTCCGAGTGGTTCTACCTTGACTATGGGTCTAAGCGCCCCCCATTATTCCCACGGTTGCTCAACGCCATCGGATTCTGTCAAACACACTTCACCTAGTCTACCAAAACAGAGGAACGAACGAGAGGCGAGGAACACTATCTGCAATAGAGGAAGGCTGGGTTCATACAATACACAGACCATAGATAAACATTCCCCCCCAAACGGAAGATTAGATGACCAGTTAAAACGGAGAGAGGGGGGGGAACACAGGGCACGGGGGAAAAGAAAGAAATGGAAATGGTCGAAAAAAACAAAAATGAGACAAAGACACGACGACAAGCGACGAAATAATGAAAATTAAATAATGAGGAAAAAAAGAAAAAAAAACATGAAAATTACCCATGCGTTTTGCGGCAGCTGTCAAAACTAAAAGCAAAGAATTTCTCCTCATCGTACCAGGGACCCGGCCTCCCATTTCAGCAAGACTGCTGCCGCCCCCTCCCCCCAACACCTCACTAAGGTGTCGATCACAGGCGGCTAGTTTCTTTTTCTTTGTCTTTTTCTTTTTTCTCCTCAATAATTTATTTGTTTTCTGCGGTTTTTTTTCCTTTTCTCCTTGAAGCTGAGAAAGCGTGGGAAGCGTGGGGATTCCGTGAGACATGGTCGCCTGGACGACAAAACGACTGAGCTTGGTTAAAAGAGCCGTAAGATAGAGAGGCTGATCGGCGGTACTCAAGTAGGTATGATAGCTCTTTTTCCCCCCTTTTGCCTTGTTGTGTTGCTCGACTTGTAACTCTCTCAGTTAGCTCTCTACACAAGACTAAATGCTATGTCCAGTACGAGTAGGAGGAAACTAAAACAAAGACTCGCACAAACATGATAGCTCCCGCCTCCCCGTCCACCCGTCTACGTCTATCCTTGGGTGGCGCTGCAGAAATGTGGATTGGTTCAGACAAAGCCCTCTCACTCGCTCCCCCCATCGACTACTGTAACCCAATCACAGTGATGCCGAGTGATCTCTCTCCCTTCGGACAGAGCGGCGGAGTGAGAAAAAAAAAAAACCATGCGCACAAGTACGATTACGATACTGAACGTACGGTTATGGTACAGTTTGCCTGGCAAACCAGGTAACTTATATATGCCTGTATATCATACTAAAACCCTTCTCCTAACTAAAAGGTCCTGACCTAAACCGGACAGAACTCACGCGCAGGCCCAATAGGATGTTCGTGCGAGGAGGAAAAAGTAAAAACTCCGCACCAAATAGGAAATCAAGCCTAGGAACGAAAGCGGATGGGAGGGATAAAAGGGTACCGGTAGGGCGAAATATCGGGAGGATTGGGAGAGGGGGGTGGGAATGGCTTTTACAAATCCAATGCGAAAAAAGAAAGGAGACTTTGCATGGCCGAAAGGGCTAGGTCTAATCTGTGATGTGCAACACACGCGGTTCCGGGGCAGGGAAGAAAAGAGGGACAGGGCAGGGGGGTTAAACAGCCGATACCAGGTTTGGCACATCTGGAACAACGCATCTGGGCTGGATTGTTTGAACAGTTGACTGAGGGAAAGCTGTTAACTCACATGATTTAACGGGGTAGGGTATCATACTCGAGTACAAGTACTCGTAAAGTGAGTAGGCGGGAAGGAGATGGGGGGGCGCGTGTCGGGAGTGTAAGTGGCTTCCCCGATACCTGTAACCGTATTCGAGATGAAGCTTGTTTTTTTTTTTCCATCTTTACCTTCCTCTTTATCGTGACTTGGCGGTCCACCAATTACCGGTAGTATGAACCGAACTACCAGTGCACGATCTAAGTCGAGTGCACTGATCGAAAAGAGAAAGATGTTTGTTCTCGGCAGAACTTTACATTGTACGGGTGGCTCCCCGAACGCGGGGCAGAAGCAGCAAAAAATGACCTTTCCTTCCACTAGCGCCGCACCGCACAGTGCTCGAGTACGAAGAGGAGAGAAGGGGGGGGGAACTCGATAGATGACGGGAAGGCCTATCCTACATTTTCGACAAATAGCCGTATTCATTCCTTAAAGTATGCTCAACAGTTACCCTTTTCAGCGGAAAAGAAAAAAAAGCACCTACGATCTACACGATCCGAAAAACACCCAAGAATTTTGCCGAGTGACAGTGGGTGACTCCGCCAACAGACCCGCGGGCCTGTTTGAAAGACATATTGGTCGCCAGTCATCGCGGAAAGGATCCTACAGGAATGGCACTACTAGAAGCAGGATTTTCATGACCCACTCTTTCACCTCTTTTTCCCACGTCCGTTCCATTCCTTCCGGATACCGATATGACTGTGGTAGTGTTTTTGGGAAAGCCTTTCTCTCTCTTCTCGTTCCACTTGGACACAACCTCAACGTTTGGGCCCCCCTCCCTCCCCTTGTTAGCGTTTGCTATGACCCCCCCCCACTCTCATACCTGTCTGTTTATGTCGGGCGAATAGTGCTTCTTCTCCCCGTTCATGTGGGTGAGAAAGAGAAAGCGTGTAAGAGGGGTTACTCGAGTATATGTGTGTGTGTGCGCTCGAGTGCGCGTGGGAGTTCTTAATCTACTTGACTTGGTTTTGGCTTTCATGGGCACCTCCTCCTCCTGCTTACTGCTATGGATCTTGAAAGGGGTCTTGTATCGGGGTACAGTGTATGGCTGGTAAACAACTTGGAAGATTGTTGTCAACACTCGCTTCTTACTGGCAAATGGCACGCTTGTGGGACGCCTGCCCTAGCCGAATTGGTTATAGTGCCTGTATACCGTACGAGTATGGTATGATGGGGTGACGGGATACTGTAATTGTGCTAGAGCATCGAATAAGCTAAACAGGCAGTGCGGGAGAGAGGTGAAGTGAAAGTGAAGTATTAGGGGGAGAGGTCTGGGCAAGTGCGCGTTACCACGTAATTTACATATCCAGTGAGATTGAGAGAGGGAGGTTGGATCTATCATATCATCGAGTAACTGGCAAAGTCTTGTCTTCCTTCCTTTCCTACCGCGTGGACTAGGCTGGACTGGACTAGGGTAGACTGTTGGCTAGATAACAGAGTACGAGTACAATATGGTCAGCGAGATCAGCGTGATGGATGGAAGAAAATAAATCGCCCTGAATTTCAGAGGTGACCAAGTCATGCCCAAGCAAAGCAAGGCATCAAAGAGCAAGACCCGTTAACCTGCTTAAGCCATGATACCTACCTATAGAGGTGAGTAGTGCGGGGGGGGGATCGAGAGGTGGTGGGGGTGGGATAAGTCCGGACAGCTCGAATTGGCTCCAGCAGCGGACGAACTTTCGCTCAGGCAGGCTGGCCAGACTCCGAGCAGGGCGTTCCCATCCGTCTTACCGCTCTTCCCAAAAGCTGAAATCTCCCTCCACCTAACGCACAGTCTGCAGATGGCGGTTATTCTTTCCCTCCTTTCATTTTTTTCTTTCTTCCTTTCTCCCTTCCCCGGGGGTAACGACTGGATGGGATTGACGCGCTCACGGAAAACAGTTTTGAACCCGGGGAGGCAAGGGTCATTATCACAGAGGCAGTTATACGTACGTACGTATGCTACGATGCCAACTACGCCTACCTACCTATCTGCCTGGCTGCCTGACTGCCTGCCTGTCAAGCTGTGCATCGTAAAACCTTCCTGACAGGATTTGAGGAGGGGGGGGGAGTGGGATCGGAGTTGATGAGATTGGTCAATTATTTTTTTATTTGAGGTGGCGTAGGGGGGGGAAGAGTTATCTTTGAATCGGGCGTTTCTACAATGGGCGGGATTTATTTATTCATTATTGATAATTTCCCCATCTCCCCTGATTGAAGGGGGGGGATGGATGATGATGATCGTATTTGGGACTTTTTCCCTGCGCTATTATAACCTATAATACTGTACCAACCTTACAAAGTGTCAGGCAAAGTACTGTACAAGTAGACGGAACCCAAACCAGCTAACCAACCGAGAGAGAGAGAGAGCCAAGCAAGGCAAAGCAACCAATTTAATATCCAATTTAAAAATCGACGAAAATTGGTGGAATAACCATTATGATATCTAAAATAATTAACGATTGAAAAAAATAAAAAATAAAAACGAAGCGGAAAGAAAAGCAAAACGAGATGAAAAATACCCCATACAAAAAAAGTCCTCAAACAAACCTGACCAAAGCTTCTTTTCACACAAAATGTCACCTTCAAAGCTTCTTTTCACACAAAATGTCACCTTCAAAGCTTCCCCCCACCTCCTTCCCCATATCTGTCAAAACAACTGAAGAAGGAACTGAAGAAGGAAAGGAAAAAAAAAAAAAAAGGGTCCAAAAATAAATAAAATCGACCTATCCAATCTCTCTTCATTCCCCACCCCCCCCCCATCCCTTCAGCATTACCGTAATTCTCCTCATTTTTTTTTTTTCCTTTCTCCTCAGGTGGTTGCCCACGGTAACTTATCTCTGTTAACTATGGAAAAGAAAGAAGAAAAGGAGAAAAGAAAAAAAAAAAAACCGGGGCTTCCCTCCACTGTACGACATAATAACGTCCAACCACTCGTACGTTAAGCGGCCGTTACAATAAGAAGGGAGAAAGTTAAAAAAGTAATCTATGATACTCGTGGACACGGGAGGGCCTCCGGTGGTTGAAACCTGGTCTGATACCGTATCGTAATTATCGGCACAAGAGTTTGTTCTTTTTTTAAAAATAATAATAATAATAATGATAATAATAAGAAGGAAAAGAACTACCCATCACCTTTCCCACCGAGCCTGGTGGTACCGGTACTGGTACAGTTAGTTAGTCTACGTCCCCGCCACACACACACACGTATAACGGTAAGTATGATATCCTACTCGTACCGCATTTGAGACCGCATTTGAGGGAACAATAGTTCGTTAATGTACTGTACGATATCGTGCGGTCCGCCCGGCACGATTCGGGGCCAATTTCTTTCTTTCTTTCTTTCTTTCTTTTTTTTTCTCATTTCTTTTAAACCTTGGTCTTGCTGGCGCTTAGATCACCATATCATAGTTCACTTGGTGGAGTTACCTGTACAGTACTGTACCCGTATGGTAACAGTTAGCAGTGACAAATCAATCATACATGATCGAACATACAAGCGCACGCACGCACGCACGCTCACATACTTACACATAGTTGGGCCAGACAGAACTTGTGGTTGACTAGGCTGGAATGGTAAGTAGACGGCACTGCGACTGCATTGTGCTAACATGTGTGCGACAACAACGCATAGTATTTCGAAGGTCGGGTTTGAATTTCGTGGGAAAAATCCATTATCCCAGTGAACGGGCGGCTTCTGGCCCTTTGCCTCCTTCTTTTTTAAGGGATTGAGCTATCCAGCCTGGCCGGCGTGACCTCTAGCATGATCTGATACGTCACCTGTTTCTCAAACCAAACTACTAAGCCAGGAATACACACTTGCACCCGCGGCCCCATCGGGGGCTGGTGGGTGGTTGGGAGCCAGGATCGGAGAGGCCATAGCTTTGTCTATCTTATGGTGTTTTGTTTTTGGATCAACCTATTCGCCAATTCTGCATGAGGATTCGCTACTCAAAGCTGGTTTGCTGCAGATCACTTGCAATCACTCGTGCATGATGCAAATGAGCGCGCGCCTTTTTGCCCTTTCTGTTCACCTTTACGATTTGGCACCTTGTCGGGCTTCTGCTGCTACAGCATCAAGGAAGAAGTCTGAGGCGCTTTGCTTCAATGTTACAATATGTGCACGCGGGACGCGATGCTATGTGGCCGTACTGGAACCACTCGAATTCCGAGGAATGTAGAGAGTTAGTGTTTTACTTGGCTCGCTCCTTCCGTGCGCATCGATTGATATGAATATGGGATGGATGGACTAGAGATAATTGAAACGCAATGAATGCTAGGGCGTTTTCTCCACTCCCCGCTCTTTATTCGGGAGTTCCTAGAATACCGTAATTACCTGTTAAATGGGGGGGCAAATAGGGAAGTAGGTTTTATTGCATTACGGATGGAATAAGATAAGTGGCAGTCATAAGATGCATCTCCAAAGCATGACGGAATGAAGAAAAATGATAACAGAAAAATGCTAAAAGAAACCCCGCGGAGGATAGGAAATAAAAGAAAACAGAGGAATAGAGAGAGAGAAGGGGATATAGAAGAAAGGAACGCGAGATACCACTGTACCATACCTCCACAAGCTCACATTATCCTGAAAGATATAGAACTCCTCTTCTCGTGCGGCCTGTACAACTCCGCATGCGCACGCTATATTCAAATTAATACATCTAACAGCATTTTCGTCTCCTCCCGCCGCTCGAATCTCTAAAAACATCCTCCCACTCTCTCAAGCCGGCGCTGAAACCATCTGCCATGACTCTTCCGGGGCCCTTCCTTTTTCTTGTGCTCCCGGAGGCGTCCACCCACCCGCCCGAGTCCCCATATTGAATCCCACTCATCGGGTCGTCAGGGTCTACCTCCCCAAGCTCAATCTTGGTCACTATCATGTGCGCAAGTCTAGTGAAGACCTCATCCACATTCTCACCGGACAGTGCCGACGTTTCCATCGTGACGGGTATGTCCTGAAGGGAGGCCCAGCGGGCTGCTTCATTTGTCGTCACAGCTCTCTCCACTACCTCCACTTGCTGTCTACTCTCCTCTTCCGGTATCGGTGTGAAGTAAGAATGCGTGGTGGATGATGATGAGGGTATGTCAATGAGTTGTCCTCCTGAGCCTTCTGGGGGGGTGGAGAGGTCCGACTTGTTGCCCACGAGGAGCAACGTCAAGTTTGGTGAAGCCAGGGCCCGGGCGTCTGTCAAGAAGGTCGGCAGCGAAGTAAAACTTGGATGAGACGTAATGTCATAGATAAGGACAGCGCCAGCAGCGCCGCGGTAGTAAGAGCGAGTAACAGATCGAAAGCGCTCTTGCCCAGCGGTGTCCCATAGCTACAGAGTCAGCGATGGCCCGGAGTGTGAAAGACAAAAAACGGGTACAAAAGTGAAGTGATGGCGGAAAAGAAAATAACAAAAAGAGCGTATAGAAGGAATTACTTGGAGTTTGATGCGTTTACGGCGGGAGCCCGTACCAACTTTGATTATCTTCGAAGAGAATTCCACCCCGATGGTTTGCGACGATAGAATTCGCCCTGTTTTAAAGTAAGCGATGTGCCCACGAAATCTGCGCCCATGGTTCGAGTTTCTCTCACATTCTCCCCGGACGAACCGATGCAGCAAACAAGACCTATCCCCGTCTTTAGCCGAGCCTGGTAAAACAACTATATTCTCGGGAATGCATACTTTCCACACCCACTCGGTCCCAGTAATATGATCTTTGCAAGGTAATCGTACAGACTACCGAGTTCCTGCAGCCGCACAAGGGATAGGTATGTCAGTAATGTGACAGCGGGGAAAAAGGGGAGAGGGGAAAGTAAAGAATCGCGCGAACCTGGTCTTCTGGAGCGGACCTAGAGGATTCAGTTGAAGCACCTGAAGCAGCGCGTTGACGCGGCATGGTAGAGTTGTTTGAAGCAGTGTTTGGAAGAGTTGACGTTGGTGGGATGTTCGTTTGTGTATCTCGTCTTTCGTCTTTGTCACCCTTGCAAACTTCTGCAGGGTAATTTAGGGGCGCCAATCCAGCGGGATGAGGCTGAGATAGGGTGTGGCGGTGATGTCATTTTGCCCAACAGAATCTTTTCTATGATAATATTATGAACTTGAAGAAGGCTGCAAAAAATAAAATAAAATAAAAGACAATTAACCCAAGTATGAAACGATCGAGCATCATATCTAAAACTCAAAGAGAATACACTCTTCCAATTGTTCTTTCCCTAATAAATTTACAACGGAACCACGGCGGGTGTGCTCGCATCCGATTCCATGATTGACAGAATTGAGACACGATCACAACTAATCACTCAGGAGCTTAAAATCCCCCCGACCGTTGCCCACGATAGATACCAAAACCCCCACCAACCATTGCACACGGAGCAACAATAACATCACCTCTACCGCTCCAACTACGTGGCCAGAGTTTCACCCAGAGATCACGATATAGGTTACTTGTAGATGTAGTTATGTTACATCACTCGGTGAAATATACAATGTACACCCGGCTTCACCGCAGACGCAACATGCTGCAGTATCTGGCTCCTTTATCAGGCACTTAGCAGGGACAACCTTCACTTGACTAGACCATGTAGCAGATCACATAAGTTTACTTGGTGCACATGGAGAACTCTACCAACACAACTGAGACAGAATTCGTCGGGTTCTCAAGTGCTCCAGCCTTGGGTCTGTGGCAGGACAAACGCCTTTACTAAAAAGTACTTGACATATAATATCCGATATTCCATCCAACGAATCTGAGAAGATGGGCATTGTGATCGGCCTACAGTACGCTGCAGTGTAGTTAGCTCTCTCATTCTACGTTTCACTTCTCCGTTTTCTTACTTTTGATATTAGGCGATAGGTGAAGTGAAGGGAGGGAGAGCTTTTAGGCGCGAGTTCTGAGCTCAATTATATCCATCCACGTTTTTGCTTTGAACACAAATTGATATCCCGGAGTTGCCTGCACTGTGCTAGTGCAGTATGTATTGATGCTTAGCTTATATAGCCTTCAGATCATTTTATTCGATGGTCATGTTTGAATTCTGGGCGTGCAATTCTGTGGAATGGACTTTTAATTTATTTTAATTTATTTTAATATAATTACAACAGAAGTAGATACTATGGGGGTTTGTCAACTCTCATCTGTTTTCAATGGAAATCGACGGCCGAAGATAGTCTATACAGGATACCGTATATCCCAAGTCCGAATATGAATTATGTAGAACTAGACACCAGCCATGGCACTCTAGGGTAGAGTGTGTAGCTGCAAAAACTTTTGACACCCCCTAGTCTCTTGCATGTGGTATAGAAGGTAAAAGTGAGAAAAACAATTCCCTATACCAGCCGGTGAAACCAGTCCCCCCGCATTCAGAAGAGCACAGAAGAGGGGCTTGTGAGAGGGAAAATATAACGAGGCTATCAGATCCTGTGAGAAGAAAAAAAAAGAATACCCTTGAGAGAAACGCCCGTATTGTAATAACCCTAGACAGTAGAAAATACCATTTCCATCCGCAAACTAAATCCCAAACCCCGGAAACGTTTAAGATACAATACAGAAGCCTTAATTACACTGACCCACTGAAGATAAAAATAAAAAGAAACAATCTCCAAAGACGTTTGAGGGTGATTGAATCGGTGGAAGTATGAAATTGTTTTATTAGAGGCTTCAAATCCCCCAAGGACAGCGGAGAATGAACTGACAAACTCCTGGTTGAGAAAACCCTTTTACTACCCATTGTATTACACTTCCGATGCTACCACTAAACTCGGACCAGGGCGCATTCCGGGGTCCACACCAGATGGTACGCCTTCCTGATCACCTTCCTGGTGGGGCCCAGCAGAGCTTGAGGGGCTTCCGTGGAAATCTCTTGTACCCTCTCCTCTTGCCTTTCCAGATGAGAATCCGTTCGGCGTGTCTAGTGTTTTCCGTCCTCTCCGGTTTTTGGTGCCTGGTGTTCTTCCTCGGGGAACCGAAGACCCTGCACGCATCTTCTTGGTATAACTTCCAGGCGGCGGGGGGACAATTTCAAATCTAGTGGGCGGTATATCGTCGGTGTTATCGTCCTGCATGAATGACTTCATTTGCGAGTTCCACTTGCTAGGAGATGCAAATTTCATAGCCAATGGGGTTGCCCTCAGAGGAGCAAAGGGGGTGAAGGGGGTCTCGGGAACCTTTAAATCAAACGTATGAAGGGTCGGGACGATTTTGTCCATGTCCATGGCGTCCCCTGTTAAAGATCTACTACCATTCCGTCCCTGGTCTCCAATTGCATTGCCTCCTCTGTCTTCTCCAATATTGCTGAGTGCCGCCGGCTCAGGCCTTGGTGCGATTGTCGGCAAAGGCTCGTTAAGTTGCACAGCTTGGGATCGTCCAACAACATAAGGCGTCCAAACAAGCGCGTCTGGATTGAGCTTTACATACCCTTTGGCCTCCCACTTTTGGATATGGGCTTCAAGGGCGGGATAGTCAATGCGTAAGGCGTAGGTTCCAGTAACTGGATCCCGTACCAGAGCATTTAATGCCTCTAGACCACAAACGACGTCGTCCGGTGTCATCCCAGTGCGTTGTGAAAGCTGAACGATAGTTACTGGCGCTGATTGGCTACGGAGCTCATAACATAAAGTTAGTTTCCAATAGTTTCGATAGGACAACAATCCAAGATCAGAGAATGGCTTTTCGGGCGACCCTGTTTTATTTTCGTGTCTCGTAAGTAGATAAGAGAATGCAATAAGTAGATTCCCGTATCCTTTGCGCTGGTGTATCGGCAATGTCAAAATACAGGATACATTGTGCTGACTTGATATGCGTTTTTCCTATGGGATAGGTAGTTAGCTTTTGATCTCATATTGTTGATTCGAGTTATGTAAACCTTTGAGAAATATCCTACAAAGTGCATTCCAAACTCATTGCATTCAGTCATCACATAAAATAGAAATGGTTCCACATCGTAATATAACGTTTTGGATCCCAAGAACAGCTTTGCAAGCACACACAGATTTTGACAGTATAGTGAGTGCTTTCTGCCATCGATTTCAAAAACAGATATTGAACCATCTCTGTATACCTCATCGCCTGGCGGATGTTTGCTCTCACATTTCATCTGGGGAAAAGTTAGGGGTAGCTTGAAAATTTGTAATAGAAGGACATACCTTATGTCTCCATCCGACATACTCGCTGTTCATATACTTTAAGCAAAATTCGCATATCCACAACACGCGGTTTTCGCTGTACTCTTGTGGATAAGGTGCAGTATACCAAGTATCAATTTCGTATTCCCCGAAATGGATACATTCGATCTTCGAAGCATCCGCAAATCTGGTATTCCGGTCCCTGTTCTTTTGCTTGGGTTGGGGGTTGAGCGATGCAGATATTACCAAACGGGTTTCTTTTTCTGCTTCTGCCTCAGCACGAGCCTTTTCAAAGCGGTCTCTTTCCTCGGCCCCAGGCAGAGTTAATTCAGTAGATGCCTCCTCTTCAGTAAGAATCCCACCATAAGGTTTAGACTTTTCATTATCTTGGGGTGAGAAATTATGGAAGACTGGTTTGGGTATATGGGTCTTTGGCGGGGCTCTAGCAGTCGCAGATTTAAGGGGCCGGCCCCTGCGGGCGGGCAATTTCTCTGGCTTATGAACCTCTGTTTTCGGGCCCGACGGTATTGACTTCGGTTTCGGCTGGATGAGATTTGGATTAGAAATTGTTGCAAGGACAGTCGCTAATTTGCCTGGTGTGAGGTTTGTGATATGTAAGTGGAATTTGCGTGCCGTTTTTTTATAGGTAACAACTGGTGTTCGTGGTTCATATAATCTTTGTTTTCCTTTGGGAGGTGTATCCTGTATATCCGAACTTGTCGAGACAGCGTCTTGTTCTTCGTCATGGGAAATCTCCATCCGATGTTCATCTTCTGGCTCGAGCTCAAACTCACCATCCTCGTCCTCGCTCGTGTTCCCGTACTTCTTCTTTGGGAGATCGAATTTTCCTCGTTTTCTTCGACGAGAGTTTATTGCATCTTCATTTGAATCATCACGCTTCCGCTTTCGTTCCCTTAGTCTTGGCGTTTCTTTAGCTTCAAAGAATGATCACAGATTAGCATGTTTTAGGTGCAAACGTAACATGGTCTATATTCTTACTTACCCGTGTTTGGCCGCCTATAATGCTTAGACTGGGAAGATAAGCCTTTCTGACTCGATACTGGCTCATGACCCCCCGCAGCACATGATGGACATCGCCATTTTGATGTTTCTGATTAATATATGTTAGAAAGCACTGTTTTATCCTCCGAAGTTAAAGAGGACATGGGTCAGTCTTGTTACCTTCGTCGAAGGCTGACTTTACTCCACCACATTCATTAGCTTCACGATCGCATTGCTTGTGAGCTAAACATTACGTATATGTGTTAGTGTGTCATCGTACATGTGCATATAGAGTGTAGAGTATTACCAAAGGAGCCACAGATGCATTCAAGCGGATCTTCATATTCGGGGCTAGGATCGTTATCTTCGTCTTTGTCGCAATGTCTATCAGAGTCAATATCAGTATCTGGGCCAAAGGTCTATTTAGCTGAGCTTATAGCGGGTCCTGACATGCAGAGATTCTTCGTGGGCTTTTCGGCATCCTCGTCTTCAACACCTTGCCAAGGCTCCCCATTCTTGTCAGCTTGCCATTCCTCTTCCTCTTCATCATCCTCCCCGTATTCATCGTCATCATCGTCTGAGGAAGAGGAGACGGCGGAGGACGATTCAGAAGGCGATCTGTCATCTGCAGAGGACTGGTCTTCGGTCTCCTCGTCTTCTTCAGCGCCCCTAGGATCTAAGTCACCTCGCTATTCAACGTTCCATTAGCTAAGATTTCCATTAACTTAGAATGAAAATTAGTCATACCTTCCGCCTCCCGATAGAGCAAGTGGACCTCCGGGATCTGGTTGACGCAACACTTTCAATGTCACTGTCGTCCTCTCCTTCTCCACCCCTCAGACCCTCCATACCACCGCAGCCGGGGTCGGAGGCGAGGAGTGTCAACACCCGTGTATGTAGAGAAAACAACTTGGCAGCTTCGTGGTAAATCCGACTAACTGATCTAAACCTCCAGCTAGGCTTCCCTCCCCGGTATTAGATGTAGAAATGGTTGATCGTTGGAAGCTGTCACCGGCGGCGACAATTATTCGGTTGCGGTAGTTTGAATACAAGAGTTGCGATTTATGAGCTAGGTGCTTCCGATGTCAGGCAAAAACTGCCGCAGGGGGGTGGGTTTAGGGGGGTTATAGATTCCACAAACGTTGTAATTGTTGACTTTTCAGGAAACTTATAAACCTGCGGTTGAAAATAAGCGGAGATGGCGATTCCAAGACGCGTTGAGGGAAAGTGGATGGGAGAGCAGGAACATGTTGGTAGCCCCTGCACAAGGGCGTTCTGTGAAAGTCGTGGGAGTCGCGGTTCAAACTCTTGACCTTAGGGTAGCACAAGGCAAGCTAGTCTGCATTGAGGGCCAAGCATTCTTCCCTATGCGCACTTCCAGAGCACATTCAAGAATGCTTGGCAATGAACCTGCTTTCTCCACCAACCACCCTGGCCGCCTTCCACGAGTATTACTGTCTGATTGATCGCTGGAAACACAAAGGATAGAATTGCAGTTCGAGCATTATGGCTATTCCGTTCGAAGCCTTTCTCCCATATGCCATTATGGTTGGTGTAAGTAATACTCCTTAATGAGCGCTTGTTGGGTTTGAATCATCGCGAAACCTGCTGATGCAATGGGTTATTCTAGATGTTTGGCGTATCAAGTGTCGTGAGTTGCAATGGCCTCGGGTCTCACTCAATAAGAGACGTGCATCTAGAATGATATTGACAACAATTGCCATCATGCAAGGGTCTTGTTGTCGTTAAAAGACTCAAGAATGAGGGGAAACATCCGAGATATAATTTGGATGTTTGGGATCGAGTAAGGAACCTCTATGCTTGCTATGATATATTTTGATACATTGCTGATGATATGCTTGTCTTCATCACAGCAAAGTATCACCTCACCCGGCCCAGTAGTCACTCAAATTATCTGGCACCCGTACTGATGTGGGATTGTTCGGGATAGTGATGGACCGAGACCGACGTCTTACTGGCTCATTACGAGGACAAACCGACAACCCAGTTGCTCCTACTGAATTTGCTGTCAACTCCGAGTGGAAGGTAGAGTTTCCTATCTTTTACACTTTCTTGCTTCCTAGACTTAAATCTTATAGCTAACATAACCTTATCCAAATAGTTGTCCAAGAGACAGATATAAGGGCTCTGCCTACAGGCGTTTCGCAATGTTCCAATTTTGTAGTTGAGCTGTCAATATAAATTTGTCTTGTTAGCTTTGTCAAACCGTAATACTGGGGTCTCCCAGTTGGCGCCCTAATGTTCCCGCTATTCATCCTCCGGATCCCCTCAGGCTCACCTACAATCTGCTCTGTTCTGATATTTTTTTTTTTTTTGCGGCTTAGCCTCTGTCTCCAATCACAGGATGGTGTTTGTATCTAAGACAGGAAATAAAGTTTTCGGCTGAACACCCGAATAGGAAAACACGCAATTCGATAGCACAGGAATCTCCTCGGGAGATCATGTATGAGTCGCACCGCACGGTTGCATATTGCACTTGCTCCAGAACTCTAGCACTGGTATTAGGCGATGCCCATTTAACCTCCAAGCGAGTCCAAAGTGGGCACATAAAATTATTCATCCAATAAGCTATTAGGTCATGAAATCAAGACTGCGGAATAGGTAGTCGTTTACCAGGAAAAATTCTCCTTAATATTATCGTTTTGCTTTCCAGTTTCCTGAAGCTTGATTGTTACTCATACAGTATACTGTACTGCGAGGTAGGGCTTTTTATTGCCCACGAGTGAGGTGTAAGTGTCCGCGAGGTTCCGGTCGAGGAAACACCACTATTGCAATCGTGTGTGCAGGTGATATACGACTATTTTGGTGGCGTGACGCTATCATAGTATCGCTGGGGCAGGGCAGTGATTTCACAGCACATTTAGACCGTCACTCCAGAATATGTAGGGAGAAGAGCTAGCCCAAGGTATTGCTTGAAACCATTTCCTGAAAGGATAAACCTAGTGAATGCTCATGTGTACAGTATTGCCTCTCTCAGCGTTAGAATTCTACACGTACAACTAAATTTACCTCGTGCAAGATTTATTGAGAAAAACTTGTCACTAGAGCCATCCGAGTGATGGTGAAGCACAGATATTCGACTTAAACCCATACAAACCGATCTAGCTCTAGAGCTAATCCTTCTATGATATAAACTATAACTCCATGCCCAGCCCTAATGAGCCCCAAAGAAGAAAAGCTTGGACACACATAACTAGCCGAATCGTCTCAGGTGGTATACACCACCGGACTACTCACTACGTTCCAAAAAAAAACGCATTTACTAAGAGTCCAAGGCAATGCCGGAATCGAGAATGGTACTTCAACCTTTGCTTCAGGATCAAAACTTATTTTGCTACCCGTTGGGGGTTTGGTCCAATCACCCACCCCGGTGCCACAGCTTCCTCACGAAGTAAACCAGCAGGTACCGTGGGTGAGGAGGATATACCGGTACCGTCATATGGATTCTGGATAGACAAATGAGCTACGGCACTTACAATATAACCACCCACCTAAACCGTTGCGATACATGCCTTCTCAGAGATCACGCTGACCACTTCACCCCTTTCAACGCGCGTGCGTGCAAGCTCGAACAAAAAAAAGAAAAAAAGAAAAAAACAAGGTGCGAGCACGGTACGGTGCACTACGTATCGCCGTTATCGGTTACCAGGGAAGAGCCCGGGGGTACTCGAGTAGATCTGTTACACATGTGCTTGTGTTACTGCTCTTCCCCGACCACAAGTATCCGGAAACAGGGGTGGAGGGGTAATATTTTGTACGGGCACTCAGATACGCACAGATATTTTACCATATACAGCACTAGGGCATGGAGGCTAGCGACGAGACGGATAGGGAGATAGACTACGGGTCGCTGGGGGCGTATTGGCGGGTTCCCGCACCGTGAACGTATGTCGTCGGCCACTCTTGCCGCTGTCCATCTCATCGCTAATTGCCATACGCGAGTATTTTGCAAATCCATGTTTTCGGATACTTTGTGGTCGGGGGTGAGTAGGGTATGCACAAGACTGTCTGGATCGGGATGCAGGGTGTTACCGGTTTTCTTGGGTGTTGGCCTGCTGTGTGTATTGGTAAGTTGTGATTCTCCCGCCCGGAAACTGAACTTGACCAGTTGCCCATCCTCGGTAGGCTAGGCTATAGGGATATATTCCGACTATAAGAGCTAGTTCTGGGTGAAGCCAATATCATGGTGAGTTGCCAGGAGTGGGGGATAGTTGTGCTGGCCTGCGGACACTCGGCCTGAGTTGATATCCCTAGGTGTGACGTCTCGATTTTACGAGCACCTCAGGCGAAATATCACGAGTTTGGAGAAATGCTGCCATCTAGGCGGGCATCCAAGTCCGCGCTATTTCCACAAACGGGGTTTATCTTGTTTAGAACTCACATTGAAGCCTTGTCCTGTTCTCAAACACTAGCAAAGTCTGTGCATAGCCTTACAAAGACACAGACATACCGAGTGACATATGATGAGTCCGCATGCTCAACTATCTTCACTTGCTCATATCGGTACTAAGCCTATCAAGATGTTATGGAACAGTTACTTGAGATTAACCAACCAAATAGATTCCTGTCCATTCCGGTTAATGAGCCCATACCCTCTCATTAAGGCCATCCTTGTATGTTCCTAAACTGAGTGGAAGGGGCTTCCAGAGGATGCTCAATCACACAAGCCTCCCCGAAACTTTATTTCAGGAAACCGACTCACACCACGGACGTCTCTATGCATTACCGGAATTTATAGTACCGGCACCGGTACCGGCAGTGAGTGCTCGATAGTAATCCCCGAGTAAAGCAATCCCTGCTCTTGGGCCTTAAGGGTGAGAGTCATTCATCCAACTTGCTGGGAGATCTGCAGAACCCACTGGCACCAACCCAACTCACAAATACGCACCCATAAATTCATCCATACACATATTTAAATAAAAAAACACACAAACACACGGAACACAACACCCTATTCTTTTCGGGAAAACAAACCACTCCAAATGGCGGCGATGGCACCCCCGACGGCAACCCGAATAGATTTCAATCAAACCCGCCTCGACGAAGTCTACGGCAACCCGAACAACTGCTTCGCGATGATAATAGAGAACGCCTTCACTCCAACTGAGTGCGAGGAGCTAATCGCCCTTGCAGAGTCCACAGGTTCCTGGATGCCGGCGGCCAAAAACGTGCAGGTGCGGGATGCTATGCGGATCCTGCGCCTTGATGCGGAGACTGCCAGGGTGGTGTTCGAGCGGGTGGAGCCATTTTTGGACGAGGTTAGGCGGCCCGGGAAGGAGTTGGAGAGTATGATTGGGAAGAAGGGTGGTGGAAGTGGAGAGAAGGGGAGGTGGGAGTTGGCGGGGTATGTTTGCTCTCTTTTTTATATCACTTTGGGAAACTGAGCTTGGCTGACGGGCACCGGGGTCCGGGATAAACAGGTTGAACGAGATGCTGAGGTTCTTAAGATACGAGGAAGGACAGCACTTTAACCTTCATTGTGACGCCACATATAATGGGGGGGGCGGGGAGAAGAGGCAGAAGTCATTCTTGACGTTGCATTTATATCTTACGGATGACGAGTCTTCGAGCTTGAAGGGAGGATCGACAAGATTCTGGAGCCCGGACGAGGCGAAGTTTATGGATGTTGAGGCGAAGCGTGGGAGGGTATTGGTATTTCAGCAGAGGACGTTGTGGCATAGTGGGGAGCCGGTCACTGAAGGGACGAAGATTACTATGAGGAGTGATATCATGTTTGAGTGGGTTTCATTGAAGCCTCCGAGGCCAAAGGGGGAGAAGAAAAAAGGTGGGAGAGTGGATAAAAGGGTAGAGTCAGTAAAACAGACAATGGTTTGACCATGTAGGAATTTTAGGATACCAGAAACCAAAACCGCTGAAAGCAGTTCTGTTATCATATTTGCATAGAGACTATAACGCCCGTTTATGCCAATGGCTCCACCCAATTGAACCCTGATAACACCAACTCCAAAGAAACAGGTAAAGAAACCCCCGTGAATACCGTTACATTCATGGGAAACCCCGACAAATTATATCGAAGGAAGGGTATAGTTGGATTTACAAAAAATAGCCCAACCGTTTGGGGATGGAGCTTTAAGCTTCAGGATATGTCTCTAAATTGCCTGCTTGACCTTTTCACCTGCAGGGGGCTCATCCACAAAATCGGGAATTCCCGGTTCGGCCTGTAAGAAGCTCGGGACCTCCCCGCCGATCGTATCAGCATCCCATCCCCCACCCAGTTCTACCTCTTCACCTAAAGCCTCAAGTTCAGCATCTAACTCGGATTCATCGACATCTAGAAGTTTGATTAGAATAGCTGTATGATAGACGAAACAAATAACGTAAGTACCTTCTGGAATGTCGTATGATCTAGAAATGGACTCTTGAATATCATTCCCGATGTCCATGAGATCCGCCATCTCATCCTGAAGCTGCTCGACTGATTTTTAATAAGGTAGGGTAAGTTTCTGCCTGAATGTATTTTAATGATAGGGAGACTCACTTTTGTCAATATCGATCTTCCCATATTGCTTCTTGAGCTCTTTATTCGTGGTTTTTAACGCATCGACCGTGACCATAACATCTGGATTGGAGTTCTTACGTATCAGCAACCCCCGTCCCGGGATCAAGCACAAAGCAGCCAATATAGAGAGAGATACAGCCGACCAGAGATTATCTCTAGATGCAAGCAAGGGAACGAGGGAGAAAATTAAATATAATGAAAGCGGACTTTTGAGGTTGTCTTGCATCATTCCAGCCTGTTCCATGTTCCAGGATTGCTGTTGGAGCTGGTCCTTCTGAGACTCATACATCTTTCGGCGCTGTAGGACTTTGAGTGCCTATTTGAGATCAAAAGAATTAGAACAGAGTCCAAGATGAAGCTCGGGTTATAAGCACAGAATATGTGAGTCTAGAGACCTTTTGTTTCAATGCGCTCTTTCCGGGCCCATCTCGCATTTTAGCCAAGCGCTGCTGATAGGTGGAGAGCTCCGCATTGAGCTTTGAGAGTTGGACATCAATTGATTCGATCCGGGTTTCGAGCTTTCGAGCTTGTTAGACTTGATGTGAGGGATGAGGCTCCGCCCAAATAAATAATAGAAGCCGTTGGAAAAACTCACGTTCGAGATGGCGCCCTGGAGGTTTGGCTTTGGTGCAGTGCTCTTGGAGCCAAAGAGACGATTCATTTTGGAGGTATTGTCTAAGTTTCTCTCGAGTGAAGCTTGATTTTTGTGTCCCTGTGGGTTGGAGAGAGAGCGCGGCGGATTTGTGGCAACAGACAGGCTCTGCTAAGATTTGAATGACGATTCCCCAAAATCACTCACGTGATAATGGCTACCCTGAGCCCTATCACGCCGATCAGGAACAAGGGTCCCTCATGCTGTCCTAATTACCGGGCTCAATACAGTAGACTGTTTTGTGATTTCTTTGGCTAAAGAAGAAGAAAAATATATGTATAAGAACTGAGAGAATCATAACTTTCTAATCGGATATGCCTATGCTGCGCTATGCACCTTTTGGGTTCATAACTTCTACACCATACATCCATGCTGATCTACATTCTCATTTCACGATCTGAGATATAATATGCGGGATATCATACTCGCTCAAAGAGCGCTCACGACTGGAGTATTAGAACCCCTTTCAATACTAAATCCCTACCATCATTCTAATTACAGCTAACCAAGTAAAAATGATAGCTAGCATCTAGGCTTAAACTACCGGTATTAACTGAGAGCCCTCCTGCTCTCAGAAATGGATCACCCGATACTATACGAGCTTGGTGACAGAATTCGTGCCCCCTCAATTTATGATACAAAAATGGGAAATTTTGCTCGAGTCTTTAGGGCCATCTAGATATTATCACCCATAAGTGATAAGTTATTAGTAAATGACCACGGTACAATACCGGAAACAATGATAGTGGGGAAAGGGTACTTACAATTTTATATTTGTTTGACATACAAAAAGTACAGCAACAGTACCGCATCCAATCTGGACTCTACTAGTACTTGTAAGCTTAGCCATCATGGTGGAGGGAAAATTCTCCACGAATTTCGTCGCCAAGATCGTACACGTATAATGAGAGGCTGGTATTATACCAAAAAAGATGGGCAGTGTATGATTTTCCACTGAAAACAGCCATGTTCATGACCTTTCAACTATTGATATAGCGAAGTAATCCAAACTAAAACCTTATCTATATGTGAAATAGTTCCCCGGATTTTACTTTCCAACCCTTTGCAACTCCGTATCTAAACTAGCTGAGGAATTGTTAAAGAGAGCTATGGTTGATACATTGGCTCTGGCACAATTTCTGATGACTTCACATGGGAAAAGGCAAGGCTCGGCACTCCTCTCGACTCCGGCTTCACAGTGTTGCATGCCAGGGTAGCCAACAGTCCTCCTTTGGTGATCTGTGGGCACTTGGGGAGAATTTTGGAAGAATTTTGGACCATACCATTGATCTTTCGGTGAAGTATACCATGGTTCGAGTTGTCGCTCCGCCATTCTACCCTCCATTGTTGGCACCGGCCTCGTATCATTACCTCTGGTTAGTTTGGGCATCTGGCGCCAAGGACCCTACTGGTACCGGTATTCCAACTTGCTGTGGGAAGACAATGCGTCGTCAGACCCCGTTGCCGTAATCTAAGCATGAGGAATGCCAAACAATCTGGACTGGTCATGTCTCTGCTGGCATGGTATGACAATAGCAATCCTTATAATATAAAATTATTCTTCTAGACATTTTCTTTCGGAACCATGAGAGGAAACCGCTCACGTGCGCGTTGATGAGCCTGAGCACAAGACCGGAGCAAATGACCCACTCAAAATTAGTAGCGTCTCGAATGTCCTACTTTTATCACTTAAATTATTACTTTAGTCTACGATATCGTACCAGTACTGTACCTATGTTGCTACCAGGCGCTGCAAGTGATTTTCCATCATTGAAAGGGGCTTGATGCAACTGTACTCGCATAGAGGATATTAGGGTTAGGCACTTCAGCAGCGCTCCAAAGTCCTTGTTGATCGGAGGCCGAAGGCCGATATGCTTGTTATCGGAAAGAGCAAACTACCCCTTAACGAAGTAGCTCAAACGGGGAGGAATCCAGCGACGCTGATATCACACTGCGTCCATCGCATGGGGTTGATGTACTGTACAGTAGGTTTAGTGGAACTAAGAATCTTCGGTAATTTCCTATTCTACCAGTATTTCATTTTTCACCATCTTCTATTTCTATTTTTTATTTTTTTCCCTTTGTTCGCTTCATCGTCCTCTGCATGTAACCACTTTGCAGTCAGTAATAAATTCGGTCTTCCAGGTAGATTTTTTTGACCCAGGGCTGCAAGAAAATTCATTCTGTTCTTGCGCCAGGTGCTGTCAGCAGTCTAGCAGTCATTCCTTGCTTGCATCGACCCTCGTAAATTTAGACACTCCTTTAGGCGCAGCTTCCAACTGCCAACAATTTTCCGCCATCAGTGGCTCACTGATTATCTACCTACCCTTCCTACCAGTCATTCCTGAACATCTACACGCCTCAACTCAGCACAGACATCATATCTTCTACCGTATTCTCAAGTAAGTACCACCCTATCCGACCTGCTTTTTTAAAATTATTACTATTCCCCACGTGAGTCCGGCCTGTGACTCGGCTTCAACCTGCTGCTATTATTTCTTGTTTGCTTGCTGGGACTGGCTTCCTTCCTCATCTTCATCGACAGTCTCATCAAGCTTACCCCCCCCCCATTCCCCTCCTCTCCCCGCTTCCCCGAAAGGACGATGGCAGCAGGCTACTGTATACCCACGTGGTCATCCTCTTTGAGGCTTCTCTGTGTCGGCAAGGGCTCTTCCCCGACAACGGCTAATCACTCGAGCTTATGCAGACCTCATCTTAGAATTTTCTCTTCATACCGCACATCGTCGTCACCTCGTCACCCTACAGGGGTGAGATTAAGTTCTCCCGATAACGCCCTATCAGCCGCCAAACCTCAGCTCAGTACAGTCTACGCAAGCTATCATGTTTTGGCGATTCGGCGGCTACGCCAATATCTCAACCCTTGACGCGATTCTTGAGAAACCTGATGTGACGCTTGAAGATCTGCTTGAGGAATCAGATTTAATCCAAGAGCTTAAACAACAGAATGCGAAGTTGATTGAATTTCTCCGGAGGGAAGATGTTATGTGGAAATTACTCGAATACGTTGTTGCACCCAAGCGTTCAGATCCAGCATCTGAAGAGGCAGGGAATAATGCTGCCGAAGCTAGTAGTGGAAACGAATCTGAAGACGGCAATCCAAACGGATGGAATCAACTCCCTGACACGGAGAGGGATAAGGAGGAGAAAGTTAGGCTGAAGTATGCCTACGTTTGCTGCGAGGTTCTATCTAGCGAGTCCTGGTCCATGGCGGAGACACTGGTAGAGAATCTGCAACCTCTACGTATGTTCTGGAGTTTCTTAGAGCGTCCTGCCCCTCTCGATCCTTTACAGGCTGGCTATTTTACGAAGGTCAACGAGACATTACTAGACCGAAAAACGGATGAAATGATGGAGTTTTTCAAAGGCCTGGATAATATTGTTCCTAAGATATTGAAGCACGTGGATTGCCCAATGATCATGGATCTGTTACTGAAGATCATCAGCATGGAGAAGTGCGAAGGGGGGACTGGTATAGTAGATGTGGGCTTTCCTGCGCCTGATTACCTATGTTTTTATCTCCTGTCACCAGGGAACTTTTTTACTAACTAAGTCACAACAGTGGCTCCATTCACAAAACCTAATACCTTTGCTACTCTCCTTCCTTTCTTCGGACCATCCTGCGACTACTCAAACTTCGAGTGGGGACTTTATCAAAGCAATCATTACAATCTCTGCCAATGCTTCCCAAAATGAACAGTCTTGCATTGGCCCCAACGATTTGACTCGCCAGTTAGTCTCCGAGGCCTGTGTTCAAGGTCTTATCCGGGACATGTTGAATGGCGGCAACCCCCTCACTGTAGGTGTAGGAATTGTCATTGAGGTTATCCGCAAAAACAATTCAGATTACGACCCGGATGTCGGAACTGGCGTTGATAACATCCCCTCTAGTAGAGATCCCATTTACCTAGGCACTTTGCTGCGCCTTTTTGCTAAACATGTTCCGGATTTTATGAAACTGATATTAACTCAATGCATGGTTGTGACCAGTGAGGATGGCTCAAAGACAGAAAAGCAAAGGGAACTGAAAGCTGCTTTTGGGGAAACAATCGAACCCTTGGGCTTTGATAGGTTCAAAACTTGTGAACTGATGGCCGAACTGCTACATTGTAGCAATATGGGCCTTTTGAATGAGCGAGGGGGTGAGAGGTATGTTAAGGAGAGGGATCGAGAGAGAGATAGATTGAGGGCAGAGAGAGAGAGAGAGCGACAGGACGTAGAGAGGGCCAATGATATTAATGGCTCGATTGAGGGTGTAGTCGTCGAGAAAGCACCACTCCAAGTACAGAATGGCGGAGCCGAGATTGACGAGGATGGCATTAACGAGGACGAATTCGAAGATGTGGCCGTGTCTGGACTCCTTGAAGAAGTTAGAGGGGCTGCCGGTCAAAAGACCATGGGCGGATTGGGCAAGGGTGTTGTCACAGATGAACCCAAAGACACTAAAATGAGTGAAGATGAAGACGTTTTTGTTGATGAGCCGCTATCCCCCGCTTCACTTGCAGTTGATGCGCCTCCAGCTTCTGCATCCGGCTTCACAGCACCAGCGCCTGCGCCAACGCCTACAGATTTCATCCCCCAACTGGGCGGCGCTCCTACCCCTGCACCGCCGTCGGATGACCTGGGTCAGTCAGCAGCACCTGGTGATCTGGCCACAGAAACTCTTGGAGAAGGATCAGATTCTAAAGATGAGAAAATGGAGGATGCACCTCTTCCGCCACCTCCACCACCAGCAAAGGACGATGATAAGGTTCCAATGTCAAAAGAGCTGAAGGGCTTGGAGGAAAAGGCTCAACAGGAGGGGAGCAGCAAAGCGGAAATGATCATTGAAGGTGATCTTATGATAACTGATGTTCCCAAAGCGCCGTCTCCACCCCCTGCAGAGGGGGATGATGATAACGGTAGCCTTTTGAAAGGTGGCAGGTCGCTTGTGGACGATCTCAAAACTGCTTCAATTGCTGCGCCCCTGAACCCACAAGCCTCGTCGATACCCCAAGATAGAATGGACGCTGACCTCCCTCCTCTCCCCAAAGAGGCATTCGAAAAATCCAAGCAACCGGATGACCCAGAAGAAGACCTTCTTGACCTTGGGGGAGGTTCACCTTACAGTACTGCTACTTTTAGATCTACAGGGAACTCAAGCTTTGAAGAATACGAAACTATGATTGAGAAGGATTTCGAAGGGAATCCCGTCGTAGGTGACTATTTGAAAATGATGTTCGTTGAGAATTCCGTGGTTCCTACAATACTGGTGTGTTGCGGTTTTTACTACTTTTAGATTCCTATAAGATGGTCGATACTTATTGTTTACAGGACTTCTTCTTCCGATTCCCTTGGAATAACTTTCTACACAATGTCGTCTACGATGTTGTGCAGCAGGTCTTCAATGGACCGATGGAAAGGGGTTATAACCGCGCCCTTGCCATCGACCTCTTTGCCACCGGCCGCATCACTGAGAGGATTGTGGAGGGCCAGAAAGCATCCGACAAGGTGGAGGCAGAGAAAAAGATGCGGCTGGGATACATGGGGCACTTAACACTCATTGCAGAAGAAGTAGTTAAATTCGCTGAACGCCACCCCCCAGAGATCCTCGGTCATAAAGTCATTGAAAAGGTTTCGGATCCTTTATGGATTGAATACGTCGAAGAGACTCTAGCAGCCACAAGAGAGAGGGACAACGCTATCCTAGGGGGTGTCAGGCCGGACATGAGCGTAGGACCACGACAAGCTGTTCTCAACGCGGTACAGGCACAAGCATTTAATGGTAATTTTTCCGATTCTGGATCTTTGATTCTGGGGAATAGTGTGAGTGGAGACTTAGAAACCATCGATTTAGCGAACGGAAGCAGCGGATCTGCGGGCATAGGTAGCGGAGCCGGGATTAGCGGTAGCTCTGGAGGTCTTCTAAGCGGTTTCGGAAGCTCAAGCGATGAGGAGGATGAGGATATGGAACGTGATGATGAAGACGACGATGAGGTCAACAGGTTAGGGCTCAGTGGCAGCAGTGATCAAGTGGGTGACCTTACCGATCTTTTGTTTGATAATGACCTTGAAGATGATTTCTTTGAGGACATGACTTTCTTATGAGTCCGCAAATTACCTGTCTATAATTCTACTTTTGTCAAAATGGGGGAAAGTTACTTTCCCCCGCTGTTTACTGCTGCATCGAATGTGCACTTTCGGTGTTTGAAGAAAGGCACGGAGTACTGGTTTGCTTTTTTCCTTTTTTTTTTTTGATATTTAGGGCTCTTTCTACAGAAAATCCTTTTTTACATTATTTCCCTTTCCTCCCCTGGCTCTTCATAATATTAAAGCCACTTTTTCAATATCTTTCATTCTCCTCTCTATCTCCTTTTTCCCACTCTATAAAGAGATATCTGTGCCGTCCATTATAGCGTGGGATGTCGAAAGGGGGTAGTGGGCAGTAAGAAACAGGGTTGCTAACGGGTACTCTCCGAAATACCTATAGTTTGCCTCGTATATCTCACAAGAAATAACCAATGTCGACAAGTTCGGATCTTCAGACGAAGAGGATGATGACGATGATATATCATTCGCAACCGCTCCAAACGAGCCACCGCCACCCCCCCCATTGCCTCTAAACATTACTAGACCCTCATCAGCAACGACAGCCACAAATACAATGAGCGTAGGCGCTAACGCTGGTATCGAAATTGAAGGCGAAGAAGGTGGATTTGAAGAGATCGAAGAAGTTGGGGACTTTGCAGGCGATGGAGATGTGAGGATCACTCATCTAGCTCCCCTTCGCGTTCAGCCTGTAGCTGCAAGTCTAAACTAACTTATGGGTTTCTATAGAGCTCGGATGAAGGCGATGATGAATTGATTTCTAGAGGTGTTTTAAGAAGAAATAAGCTCACTGTTACTCACAAAGCAGAGAAGCGTGCAGTTCTTGAAGAAGATGAAGGTGAAGTTGATTTCATCAATGAGATTCACGGATTAAGCCTGGCCGGAGTGGGAGATCAAGGCAAGGCCACAAGCGAAACCTCAGCATCAGTCACAACTGAGGCGGAAAGGATATCGGAACCTGCTGCTGGGGAAGCTCAAAAAATCGAGACGAAGTGACCGTCTATGATGAGTTTACAAGTATTATGGTCATAGATGGTAAATGGGCTGACTGGATAGCATGCTTTTTTTCCCTCTTACTAGATGGCGACTTTGCATGAGTCTACTTTCCACAGTTTTTTTCGCATTTCTCCCATTTGCCTAGTTTGATTTTTAGTGGCGGTAGGCCCAAACATGGGCCCGGGATTTGCGTATTTTTCTCTTTTCTTTCCCAAGGGTCCGAAGCCGGCGCCTCCATATCATCATTGTCATCATCACAGTCCTCATATTCCTCTATTCTGTCAATCATGGAATTCAACAACATAACGGGCTTTCCTTTCTTCACTCACATAATATTTATGTATTAGGGTTGCCCTTTCGTTCAGATGCATGTATTGTAATATGTAGCATTGGTCCATACTGGTGACTTTTCTTTTGGTCATGTACACGGGTTAGGCATAGTGCAGTTTTATCAGAAGGTTAAGGATACGGAAGGGATATGGTGGACAGGGGAATGAATTTTATGGCTTTTTCCTTCCTTTCTGTTTTTGGGCTGGAGTCTTCTTTCTTTCTAAAAAAAAAGAATGGGCTGTTTCATAATAGAGTAATCGCCTGGAAGGGATGGATCGAGAGCTCAAAATCTTAGAATGAGATCGCTGGTCAGGAAGAAATCTCAGTGACGGGAGGGAAATACTCATGGAGAAAGTGGCGAAAGTGGAGAACTTGGAAAAATGAAAGTTGGCGACAATCAATCCCTGAGATTTCTCTCCAAGTCCGCTCTTGTTCTGGTTGCCCTTTTTTTTCTGGTGCTGCAATGCCAGAGCCGTTTGGCAACTACTGTACCGTACTCAAGTAGATTGTTGCCCATTTCGATTATCTCAGCACCCCACGCCCAGAGTTACCAGCCCACCTTGACCCTCCCATATTGAATAACCTCATCACCGATTTCGGTCGTCGCACGATTGCCCGGAGAAAGGTTCACAATAATTAGAGGGCCGCCATCAAGACTCCTCCACCAGGAAACTCCCTCCCGAATTCCCCCATCCTTCAATCCCTTCACTCAGCTGCCAATCAACTCTTCCGAAGCCAAAATCACCGAACAATGTTTCTAGCGCGGAACCCGCAGTGCGGCGTGATAGCTTTGGCGTCCTCTCACCTGGCCCGCTCCTCTGCTATCGCTGTTTATCGCCAACAAGGCAGTCGTAACCTAGCTACTGTTAGCGACACACCGACGAGGTCCTACGGAGGTTTGAAGGATCAAGATAGGATTTTCCAGAACCTCTACGGACACCATGGCACAGACCTTAAATCTGCTATGAAATATGGAGATTGGTATAAGACAAAGGAGATTCTCTTGAAGGGGCATGACTGGGTATATGCTCCGCTGCTGTTGCTTACATGAGTTGTCGGTTGAATACTAACTTTCAAGAAATAGATTATCGGGGAGATCAAGACTTCCGGTCTTCGTGGGCGTGGTGGTGCTGGGTTTCCGTCGGGTATGAAATGGGTATGTATAAATTATAGGATTTCCACAGAGCGGCTTTAGCTAACATTCATTGTTATAGTCATTCATGACCCCACCCGGATGGAACACGGGAACTACACCACGGTACCTCGTCGTTAATGCTGATGAAGGGGAGCCCGGAACATGCAAAGATCGTGAGATCATGCGTAAAGATCCTCACAAGTTGGTCGAGGGATGCTTGGTTGCCGGAAGAGCTATGGAAGCCACGGCAGCTTACATTTACATCCGTGGCGAGTTTTACCATGAGGCTACCGTCCTGCAGAGGGCTATTCAGGAAGCCTATTCCGCCGGGTTGATTGGAAAGAATGCTTGTGGCAGTGGATACGATTTTGACGTTTTCGTTCACAGAGGAATGGGAGTAAGTCTTTTCGTTCCTCTTCCAACGACGGACGGAAAATGCTGACTAGTTTGATTAACAGGCTTACGTTTGTGGGGAAGAGACATCGCTTATTGAGTCCCTGGAAGGTAAACCTGGCAAGCCTAGGCTAAAGCCTCCATTTCCTGCCTCCGTCGGCCTGTTTGGATGCCCTTCGACTGTGGCAAATGTCGAAACTGTTTCTGTAGCCCCCACAATCTGCCGAAGAGGTGGTTCATGGTTTGCCTCGTTCGGACGAAAGCGCAACGAAGGAACTAAGCTTTTCTGTATATCCGGGCATGTCAACAACCCTTGCACCGTTGAGGAAGAGATGTCAATACCTCTAAAGGAGCTGATCGAGAGACACTGCGGTGGCGTCAGGGGTGGATGGGATAACCTGCAAGCCATCATTCCCGGTGGCTCGTCAACCCCGATTTTACCCCGAAAGATCTGCGACGATGTCCTAATGGACTTTGACGCCCTGAAAGATGTACAAAGCGGTTTAGGTACCGCTGCAGTCATTGTGATGGACAAGAGCACCGATGTGGTAAGAGCTATCTCAAGGCTTTCGAAGTTTTACAAGCACGAGTCTTGCGGGCAGGTAAGTTATTAAGTTCAATATATTACGCCTCATCATTTATCAACAAAGTCATAGTGCACACCTTGTCGCGAGGGAACCAGATGGACTGCACAGATTATGGAACGTTTCGAAAAGGGCCAAGGACGAGAACGGGAGATCGACATGCTCCAGGAACTTACCAAACAGGTTGAAGGGCACACTATCTGTGCTTTGGGGGAAGCCTTTGCCTGGCCATTGCAGGGTCTAATCCGTCACTTCAGACCAGAATTGGAGGCAAGGATGCAGGCGCACGCCCAGGCTTCGGGTGGAGAGGCCCTGGCCGGTGGTTGGGAACATAACGCCCGGGTGCAGGGCAAGCTTGTTGCGCCTGGACAGTAGACAAGGCAGTATAGACCAATACCCAAGGCACCACCTTTTTCCTCTTTTTTTCTTCTTTCTCCCCACCCTCTTGTGCAATTTTGGGGTTTTGCATTGGTGCGTTGCTGCTGCTATAAGGCTTCACCATTCACCCGACCCGAATTGAACTGCTGTACATTTCTTCTGGCCATTTACTTAGAGCAAATGTGATTGAAAGAAATGCTGGAACGTCACGACTACTCTTCACTCTAACATGCGAGAGCAGACTGGGGTGTTCTCGCATTCTGTGTCTAACAACCCTATTATCACGAGTATTTTGTGTAAACCTCTGACTAAGAGTACTGTACATAACTCATAGCACTCACCCACTAAGTAGCACACTATACATCCCACGTTCAATGAGGCGAGATATACCCCGGCAGCAAGTACCAGGAACCCCTTACCGACCAAAACCTTATTTCACGAAAATATCCCAAGAATGATATCACAGATCTGGGAATTTCCGTAAGATAACTCCCCTCCACAAGCGGGATGTATTCCGTACGGTATCGGCAATGCACGTAACGCAATTATATGTTATGCCGCGCAGGAATGTATTAGCACAGGTATCATAATATCACGGGTATAGTACTCGAGTAGCGTTGTTGGAGAGAATTTCTGCCACGGCACGAGCCTTCAGATCCATGTGCCTGGCACTACACTATACGGTAGTGCCCGGGCAGAACATAAGTGAATAGAATGAATTTTGGGTTGAAAAAAAAAATATTTGGAAAAAGTGAAGGAAAGGAAAGTCGAGATATAGTATCATAACTTGAAGACAAAAACAATATTGTGGAGTCTGGAAGCAAGTAAACACATTATTGCCGGTAAGTTACTATGATATTATCTACTCGAGTATGTGTGGGGAGGGGAACTGGTAAAAGCCACAGCTCATCTTCTCTTGACAATATAATTGTGCCAAACTGTGCTTTTCATCAATTTCACCACCCTCTGGAATTTCCCCGTGCCGTGCCATGCACATCGGCATGGCACATAGCGCTGCTAGTGCCAACCACAGGGAAAGACATCTAATCTAGCTCTTGCCACTCGACGAAATGTTTTTTTTTGTGAAAAACAGAATTTCTCCTTGTCAGTGGAACAGGCAACTGCCTGCCCATCTTAGGCTACTGTAATCGTGGCCAAAGAGAAACTCTGTTTCACGAAGACGTTTTCCGGGGGACTACTCGAGTAGAGTGGATTTACAGCCAAGCCAGATAAAGTGCACCGCGATGTGATGAACGGTAAATAAGAGAAAGTGAAAATAAAAAAGGCAGCGCCTGTGGTGTGCATCATGATATATACCACCAACCACTCTCCAATCCCCTCTATCACACTACTAGCAGTAGCCCCAATCTAGCCAAGAATCACAATAACTTCAAGTGCCCAGTGATTTGATCCACAATACTTCTAGGCGCTAACCCCGCCATCGATCAAATCAATTCATTAGCCCCCTCTCATCTCTCCCACTCCTACCCCCCCCCTCCCCACAAAAGTGACAAAGGAAGAGAAAGAAAGAAAGGGAAAAAACTCACCGGGCCCAACCCCCAAAACCGTAGCACTCCCCGCCTTAATCTGAGTCCTACCAGCATCCCTAACGATCCTAGCCACGACCCCCAAACTCGCCGCTACGCCAGCCAACGTCTCCAGCTCCTCCTCCCCATCCAAACCCCCCTCCTCACCTCCGGAACACTTGAGCGCAATCTTGGCCTGGCCGAGCCTCTCCCACCGTTCCAGTATGCCGGGAGCGTGCTCCCGCACGCTCTTATAGCACATGAGCGTCGCGTGACCACACTGTGCTGCTATCTTCCCCTTCGTCATGGATAAGTCCGTGCGCACCACGAACACCATCTTGCAGTCCTCCGAGAGGTTGGTGTAGGGGTTTATTGTTGAGGAGGTGGTTGCCCAGTCGTCGTCGTCGTCATCGTTGTCCTCGGAGGGGGGTTTGGCGGTTGGGGAAGCGGGGGTGAATGAGTCGTCGGGGGACACCGGTGGGGAGGATTTTAGCTCTTTGATTCGCTCGGCGGTTTTGACACCCGAGGTTTTGCCGATGTAGTAGCCTGTGAGCGCGCCCAGGAGGGTTAGGATTATTGTTGAGAGAGGAGGCGGGAGGGAGGTCATTGGTGGCATTTCGGGAAATTTAGGTGTTTGTGGTGGTGGTGGTGGTGGGGGAGGAGTGGTTGTGTTGTGGGTATGATAGGGGATTTAGCGATTTGGGGTTTGTTGTGAGGTTGTGAAGTTAGTTGAGTTAGCACGTGGAAGTGCTTGCTATCATACTATTATCCTCGGGCACCATGGAAAACATTCCGGGATGCATCAAAAATCCAAGGCTGCTGGTCTGGGATCGGGACTCTGGGCTGTACGAGTAGACTAATGGCACCCCGTGTAACAGAAGACGTCCAAGCTTTTCTGGATTTAGACTATGGAGTTACACTTTGATCTCAATGCACATAATGTACTCGTACGAGTACAGTTAAATTTACCCACCGTATACTAAGGTGTGTAGAGATTTCTATGGGACCAGCAGAAATAGATTTCCGATTTAAACTGACCCGAGTTCAATCAAATATATTATCCTGGCACATGGAAGTCTATAATGTGATGTTATTCGCTTTTTTTTGTGCCCTTTCCCAATAATTCAAATATCAAAGTCCAGAAAGGATTATCCCAACCGCCACCGTCCTGTCCCACCCACCACAACCCCCAACGCAAAGAAGCTGAAACAGCAAAGGTCATCGAGTAAAAAATGAGGGGATACCACCCGAAATTCTCGCAGATCAGAGAAAAGTCCCAAAAGCGAAAGCATAATGGGAGGAAAAAATGGAAAAGGAAATGAAAAAGCATTTTCCCGACTCATGTACATACAATTTTGATCTCCCAGAAACCCCACCATCCAAACCAGAAGCTAATAGACAAAAAGAGGCAAGAAAAGAGAACACCAACCCATGTATGTTTCTCGTGCATTGGAGAATACCATTCTCAGGTATCAAAAACCAACCCACTGTGTAAGATGAGTGCGAGAAGATAACTCCAAACTTGTGCGCCAGACAGACACAAACAAGTTATACATCCTTTCCCAGCTCATACTCATTATCTCCCTATAGCCTCAAAGTCAAAAGAAGAAATGTCTGAACCAGCAAGAAAATTAACCCAAAAGCAAAGAAGCGCAAAAATTACAACCCTTTTTTGGAGCAAGAACGAGACGTATATGTGCAAAAAAAAATGCAAAAACCAAATGCAAGACCGAAGAAACGTGGTAGAGAAGGTACGAGAGAAGAAATAATAAAGGCGGGAAAACAAAAGGAATTCATCAACGGCCCTAAGCTACCGGATCGCCCCCCCCAAAAAAAAAAAACAGAAGAGAAAAAGAATCAAGGAAAAGCCATAGCAATGCTCGTGAAAGGTATAGGAAATACCAAGTCAATCGAAATGTAACGAAATACAAAGGGACTTGTTTAATACGGGGCCAAATCAGGGGAGGATTGTTAAAAATAATTCCCGCAATGCTCTTCTACTTCGGCAGTTAAACCCCTGCTTTTTTTGTAGCCCAAGCTCAACCAAGATAGGCGCTTTTTATCAACCTTATTCACGCCTCGACATACTCAGCCACTATGCAGCTCTGCATTTAAGCGTTTGATAATAGAGATAGGAGAAAGAGAGAGAAAAAAGGAAAAGGTACGACGACCGATGTGAAACTCTTGCAAATCAATCAAAATCGTCGCCAGCTAGCAATAAAGTTAGGTACCTATCCCCATCTCCAATATAATGAATATATGTCTTACCTTCATCCATAGTGTCGTTTCCATCGGGTATCTCCCGACCGCTCCTGTCAACGACAATTCTACGGCCGCGCTTGTCGTCGGGGATACCGTCCCGTGCAGCACCAAAGTCGAGCACCTAAAAAAATAATTAGACACTGAAGAAAAACAAAAAAACTAAGTAAATTACCTCAATGTAAGTGACCTGGTCACGCTGGACGGCAGCCACACAAATCCTTTCATTAAATTTGACTTGCCATACACCACTCAAGTCAGTCAGCAAATCACGAATGAACTCGCCAGTTTGAACGTTCCACATTTTGAGTGTCCTATCCGAACCAGAAATAACCTTGTGCCCATCATGCTGGAAACAGGTGATCGCTCCAGTATGCGCTGAGAGTGTGTGCTTGCAGTTCCCAGTCTCTGGATCCCAAATCCTTAATGTTGAGTCTGCGGCAGCTGAGACAAGTCTATCATGACTCAAGTCAAGCAGGCCAACTAGTTGGGTGTGGCCTTCAAGAGTGTAAATCACAGATCCAGTTTCTAATGACCAGACCTTGACCAAGTTATCCATACTTCCACTAATACAGCGGTTTCGTTTATGGTCCAACACCACGCTATAGACTTTCTGAACATGACCCCGCAGTGTATGCAGAGTCTCTCCGGTGGAGATTTTCCAGACCTTGACAGAATAATCGTAACTGCCACTCACAAGCGTATCCCCATGTGCTGAAATCGCACGAACAGAATGCTGATGGCCTGAGAGGGTGCGAATGAAGTACGGATTGTTGTTAGGGTTCAGGAAAAGATCGTTATCGTTCGCATCCCGACTGGCTCCCGGTAGATAGGGCTTATCGCCACGCATAGGAAGTTTCCATACTCGCAGCGTTGAGTCCCGAGATCCTGTAATTATCAACGGTACTTTCGGCATGATCAAATCTTTACCATCTGGCTTAACGCCAATCTTAGTTGGCATGAGAATCTGCAGACATCGGACGGTCGAAGTATGTCCATGGAAAATCTGGGTGCATTCACCAGCGGCGATGTTCCAAATTCGGACAGTTCTATCTGTTGAGCCAGATACCAAGGTATTACCTTCGTACTGCAAAGCCCAAACCCCACCTTCATGCCCCACCAACTTGTTTCGCAGCGCTCCCGTATTGGTATCGTACACGTTGATGTTGGTATCATCAGAGCCCGTCAATATTTTATCTGTGTCAAACTGCAGACAAGTAACCACGTGTCTCTGATGGCCACGGAAGGATATATGCCTCGGCTTCACCTGCGGTCGTATCCAACTACGGCGGATGATGTGGTGTCTTCGATAGATAGACTTAAACAGGTGTAGATTCCTCAGCGACTGTAACCCCACCAAAGCCTTGGAGCCAGCTTTTTCCGCAGCGTTAGCAGCCGCAACAGGGCCGACAGAGTTGGAGTAAATCTCCAATATAACCTCGTTAAACTCCTCCTTACCAAGCGTTTCAACGGCTTCGCGCTTCTTCTGCTGCTTCTTGGAATTCGCTCTGGTGTTGAACTTCTTCTTTTGCCTTCCATGCGGTGGCGGGGTCGTAAGAGTCGGGGGGGCACAACAATTGGATCTGGTCCCGGCGTTGACATCTCTCTCGCAGTCATCATCACCTTGTGGATCCTGGAAACCCCAACCCTCTCGTATGGCCCTATCCAATTCACCGTCTCCCAGCACATACCCATCGTTGTCAAAAAGTTTCTTCCATGTCCACTCGTCAGAATCGATAATGATCCTCCAACGTTTTGATACTTGAGCAGCATTGCAAAGACTCCTGATGTCTAGATACTTGATAATGTTTAAGGAAAGTTCTGGGGGCAGAAGGGTAAGGAAGTCGCACTTGAGAGCAGGGTTGACCACTTCTGCAACCGTTTGAAGTGTGCTCTTGGAACATCGGCGGAGAAGCTGATACATAACGTAAGTTTTGACGGCAGAAGGCATAGCATCAAAGGAATCCAGCATTTTTGGAATTTCCATCAACCCAGGAGTATATTGTTCTCGAGGGGTCTGTGGTTGCATGATATGTCTTTGCGGACTCAGCATCAATTGGTTTGACTCGTCAGTTACATCCTCCTCGCTGGGCGGCAGCTCAAGTGGTGAGTCGATTTCATCAGTATCCATCGCCGAGAAATAACCTCCATGAGTCAAGGCGGCAGTCACAGGACTTAGACTTGGACTTGGAAGACTCAGTGGCTGAGCAGACCCGACAGCAACGTTATCGTTCGCCGCATGTTGGGTATCAGGTGACAGGGTTGTAGGTATTATGGTTGAATCCGATTCAGCATCATCCAACTCGAGATCCTCTTGTGGGGTAGGCGTTGAGCCCATCTCCAAGTCTTCTGCTTCCAAATCCAACGGTTTTACCCCCAACTGTGGGGACAAAGTCAGTGGGGTCTCTTGTTGATGATTTTGATTCGGTGTGAGATTAACGGTGGTGAATAATTGAGAATTTTGCAGCTGGCTTAATTGCTGGTGAACAGGACGGACAGGCCTAGGAGCGTGAGTAGTAGGAGGATTGATTTCCACAGGCGTGGCTGGAGTAGTGTTACGACTTGAACGAAGACACTTTCTGGGTGAAGGTGTATTGGCCTTACTAGAGGGTATACCTGACCTCGGTCTTCCTGTTTGTCGGCGTTTATTACCTTTCTGTAACAAGGATACGCGTTCGGCTGCCTCCGAGATCGATACCGGGGAGGCGGGACGTTTCCGACTCGATGAAGAATGGGAGGCCGTAGGCAGGGTGGCTGATGCAGGCGGACTCGTTAAAGGGTTCTGGACCTGCACGCGTTCCTCTCCTCGAACAACTTTTCTAATGAGGCCGTTGCTCCGATCGAGATCATGTACAAGCATGTCCAACTATATCCACATATTTCCATTAGCAAACGGTTAGCCCCGAAGACCCGAAATCTGGGCTGGAATCTCACTCCTCACCTCTCTCAAAGACTGCTCCGGGTCATCCGTCTCCCGAAAGTGGGTGGGTTTCCCATTCAGATCGAAACAAAATCTCTTGAGGTTCGATGGTGTTGGTACAGCAGCTAGGGGAAACTCCTTGGGGTCCAACTCGTTTAGATTTCTAGGAGGCCTCATGAGAAGTTGTGGAAAGGACGTAGTAGTTGTTGTAGTTGTAGTAACCACAGTAGTCTGAGTAGTAGGGGCAAGGGAAAACTGCCCAATAGTAGAATAGGGGGCAAGACGATTCTCACGATGAGTACGTGTATGGGAAGGTTGTGACATCGACCCTGATGATGCTGATGTCGATATGTCCATACCACGGATCTGTTGCTGGGAACGATGCCTTCGGGGTGGGAGGTTTACATGAGGTGCTGTTGGCGGCTCCATGAGAACAATTTATATGTCGATGTTCTGTGACCGGAGGTCCGGAATAACGATCCGAATAAAAAAATTGTGAAGGAGCAGTAAGGTATCGATTTGATAATCTTTACGCACAGTATATGGAAACCTGTGCGTATCTCTCACGTACGGTATCGGCGTTGGGGGTATAGAAAGAGCGGAGCGCCTTAGAATGTAGTATCGCAATGCCCTAAGCAGGGAGAGAAACACGGGTTAAAGGATCCTAACGAACGAACGGAACGGGAAGCAAAATAACAACCCTAATGTCGGAGGAAAAAAAGAGGAAAGGGGGGCCGATAATTTTGATGGAAAGGAAGAGGAAAGATGGTAATGAAGGGCCCAGCCGTTGGGAGTGCTGGATGCTATTGCAGTTGGATATGAACTCTGGGAGAAAAGGAGGATGGCGAGAGGTGGGGAGTGTAGTGAATGCGGCGAGTGCAGGGTGGGTTGGTACTGTACTTCTTTGGTCTCTTTTCTCGGTCTTTCACCACAAGACCCTTGCACTACCCGTACTGTAGTCCTGTCTTCTGCTGTAACAGAAATACCGTATCCTGCCTATCCAGGACTTCTCCGTCTTGCACTGTATTGGTTTTTCCCTCACCCTCTCACTCGTTCTCAACCTCCCTCACTCTCACTAACGGCTCACACAACACTAAGCCTCTATCTCTTTCTCTAGCTCTTTTTTCCGTTTGAACACTGGCTCGAAAGGTAGACAGGCTCAGTCACTCGAGTCTTCCCGACTGACCAACAGGCGGGCGAGAAAGCAGCAACAACCACTGAAGGAGGGGAGGGGGCGAAAAAAGCGTGGTGGCCAGGAAACACTGACAGAAGCAACTGACAGAAGCAGAATGAATGGGCAACAGCAGGAGACTCCCAGCAGCAAGCGGTGTGCCTCTGGTTGCGACTTGAGACCATCACCGCAGGAGACGCCAACTCAAATTGGATTCCGCTAACCCTAATTGGTAACCCCAGCCCTCTAAACTGCCTTTTCTGCCTCTAACATCCCTGCCTTAACCCATTTTCGCCTGGCCTCCGTCTTTTTTCAGTTGGTCAAGATTCAAAAAGCCACTGGCTTAAGCGTTTTGGGGAAGACATAAAGGAAGGGACAAACAAGAGAAGGACTGGCGGAGAAAAGAAAAGAAAAAAGGTTTCCGCTGCCCATGAACATGAAAACATGAGCCCCCCGCCGCCGTCAACCGGTAACAACCCACCACAAGCGACACGGTCGGAACAAGGTATAAGACCCCTAACCCTACACTCTATACTCCGACAAATTAACGCACTGGAGCAGATACCGGTATCCTTGAAATTATTACGCCTCTCGTTTGTAATGGACATGTCATTAGTGCTCTATGGTACTCCCTCCCTCGCTATCCCACAGGCTTCCTTCTACTTGTAAGCAGGTGGAGTTATCGCAGAAGAAAAAAATAAGTTGGCTTGCATTGATAAACCGAGCAACCGAACGCCGTTGGGGCTGTCCTATAATTTACCTGTACTTTCCCAATCTTGACGCTGCAGGCTGGTATCAAATATGACCCGTTATGGCCCAGGTTCGACGCAACAAAGTCCCCTCGTCAATCCTAGGAAAAGTGGGAAAGTGAAGATAAGAGGGGTGCAAGGTGCAAACACTGGAACCAGTCCTCAAGAAATCCATTTTATGGGCCCCCCGTCCAGTCTACGGCTACCGGTACTCGAGTAGGAGTGAACTTCAGCCCGGGAGATTCGGTAACAAAGAGCAATATGGCACAATCAGCTACTACTATTATTAAAGGGCCACCGCCCAGCAACTTTGCAACTACTGTAAGTTAGTAAGCGCACGGGTATCGACATTATTTCCCTTTTTCCCTCCCTTCCTTTCACTTTCCTCCTCCGCTTCACTACTGATAATTCTGTGCGCTCATTCTCACCACACCCCTCATTTTCCCCACTTTAGAGTATGAACACAATAATTTTCGAGTACAGTACTAGTACAGTACACAGACAGTTACCAAGGAACTAGTGATCAGTTTTGCCCCGGCTCTTGCTGTTGCTGCTCAGCCACCACTTGCATCCCTCTTTCAAGCACACTCATAAGCCAAGAGCACCTACATACATACTCGTACATAAATACATTCGTAAAGCATGAGCACAGCAATGCATCACACTGTACAAGTACTGTACGGTAAGTTAAAACCCCGCAGGCACGTCGAATACTTTTACAGACTTTTTCTTTTCTTCTTTTGCAAAACAGGACAGCACGGAAGCACTCTGCCCCCAAGATGATACCCCACTGCATGAAGTGGGCCATCACTATCATCCCAGCAGCACCACCACGTAGCGCAAACCGAATCAAACCAAACCTCATCGCGTAACCTCGGCTTGCCCTCTCAGCCTCCTCCTTTCAACACACCGCTAAAAATACCGGCACCATACAATTTTTTCCCACGAGACGGAACCCCGACATTGACCACCGACAAGTCTTCTACGGGTAACTCCAGGGAGTCAAGATCCTTAAATTGAATGAATAAAAATAGCCTGGACCCTTCCTATTCCTCCCAACCTCACACTCGCCTGGTTGTTTGGATTATAAGACAGCCACTAAGCAATAAGTTATGGTCTCACGCGGCGGCTTTCGCGAAATAGACGCGGTGTCCCTTGATTCTCATTGCAAGATTGTGTTTACTTTTTTTCAAATTCTCAGCTCTCATCGGTGTTGCCCGCCTCTGCGGGGATGGGATTGGATGGTGCCAGGCGCCTGAAATCGGCCCTCTCCAGAGCGAAAATCACAAACTCCACAAAACTACTCAGAATCAGCTCCTCTTCAGTTCTATTGACTCCGCAATCTTTTATTGAGTGAGCACCGGTTGAGAATACTAAGGGGTGCATTTTGTGGCGGGGGAACATGTGATGCATACAAATTCATGCCAAGGCACTGATTCTTGCGTTATTACTGGGTAAAATGAGGGAACAAGAGGGCCGGCCTCAGGTGTCTAGCACCATATGTTCGCTCGCGCTTCCCTTGCAGGAACTGAGAAGAGCAAATACGACCGCAACTCCCATCCCTAGAGTCCTTTTAAGATACCGGAGCATTAAACCCCATTAAACCCTTATCCCCACCTCAACCCATGATCTTACTACCTCTACAATTTTCGTTTTTCCGCGGCGGAACTGCGAGTGACGGGATATGAAGCTATAATACATACGCACGTGCAACTACGGGAGGAGAACAGATAAAGCACAAATAATGGAAAATGGGCAGTCATCCAGAAGAGCAGAAAAAACCGCCGTCCCACCCATACCGTGTTCCCAAACCCGGATCCCCAAGTCGTAACTTCACATATGTAGAGATCGGAAAGGCTTCGACCAGAAAACTGGAGTGTTGTGCTTCCATCCCTTGCAATCCCTTCTTCCCCCGCATATCAGGTAAATACCGGCACTATGGTCAGCTATGCTTAAAGTAAGGAGGGATCATACCTCCCCTCGATCAAGGGAACACCTGGGGTCTGCGGAACGGCACGTCTGCCTCTGCAGTCGCACTTCGTGTCGCCGAGGTGATAGTTTCACTCTTGTCGTCCGAAAACAGGTAAACATCGGGATAGCTAGAGGTGTCAGAGTAAGTGTCAGAGTAAGTATGAAGAAAGCGAGGAAACAGGTTGCCAATCGAACGATAGACAAGGGAGGTAAGGGATGAAGGTGCCAAGCCAGCAGCCGTATCCAGATGACTAAGCATAAACTCTCCTTTTGTATCACCGACATAGTATCTCCAGTACAGTACTATACCAACAAGGGGGTATTTCCGGCGCCTCCAGCCAGGTCTCTTCCTGCCACAGCTGCGATCGCAGTACCTGCTCAAAGTGTTGCCTCCCAAGTGTACTCGAGTAATTGGGATGACAACCCCTTTGTAATGAAATCCTCACGCGGGCCATCAGCCGCACCCTGGGGCTGACCCGCTCGATGATGGCCGCCATCTAGTCTCGCTTGGAAACCGACCCAAATATTCAATCCATCTAACAAGGTCTCCAACGGAAAACTTTAGAAGTGCTGAAGTTCGGACAGAATTGGTAGCTAGCACTGGGAGAGAGACCAGGGCCATCAAGGTCAGTTGCGGGATGCAATTTTCGTGGTGGGGCAGAAGACATTGGTCGAGTGATTACTTATGAAAGCAGAACATGAATTCTTATATGTTTATTTTACAGAAAACTCTCAGAATGCCCTCTTGGGTATCATAGTGACCAGGGACTAATCTGCCCTCCTGACCAGAATACCACCCCCCGACAAAATTTGCCTGAGCATCCTAGAATCCAACCCCGAGAGAAGAGGTGGCCTCTGGGGGACAATACTGGAGTTGCAAGTACCAGTAGCCTCTCTGGACCTTGGCCGATACCCAAACAATAGCTATGTTACATCTTGCTGGAAGGAATAATGTTTAATTCTAAGCAGACTTCTCATACCCTTCCTCATACTTCAAGAACTATGCCTATCAACAACAGAATTAAATCTTTTCAGACAATGTCCTTTGGATATGCCCCCAGGGACACAGTAAAGCTTTATCATAGTATAATTAATTTCTGAAAAATTGTATTTGCCGGACAGGGTACATTGTGGGATGGTTGCTATCATGCTTAGGGTGCTTAGGGAAATGTGGTGGGAGTGGTATCCTGGTTGCATAGGGCAGATTAGGCCCTGGTCGCTACCCGAGAGGGCATTCCGTTTATTTTATCAAACGGTGAATCACCCCCGCCTATTCCAAAACTCGAGCGAAAAGAAAGATACCGACCGCTGTGGGGTTTCTAGTTTCTCTCTGATATTGACGTGAGAAATTTGTCTTTGCGGTAAGGGATGTAAGCGCTAAAGTAAGGGAGTGCCTGAATAGGATCTATTCACTCCTTTGCTGCCCGACTCACCTGCCAATTCATAGAGTATCCGGACGCCTTGGCGTCGAGTAGACATTGCCGCGATCCGTGCGAAGTTGTCCGGATATGATACTTCGAATTGGCCAGTGATGTCAAGCCACTCAACATTAGCTGCCTCGGGAGAAAGCCGTTCGTTTTTACGCCCGCCTACCGTAGTTTAGTTTTGGCGGTTCTCGAGAGCTTGCAGGTGTAGTGTGGGTGCATCTAATGCACGTCAAGGTTCCCGAGAGGTTACAGAAGCCGTCGGATGGAAGGTAATTGATGGGATGGCAACCGCTGCTGCTAGAGCATGGTGAAAACCTACCGTATTGCCTGTAGAAAGGCGTTCTTGGCGGCGAAGGCGCGTGATTGCAGTCGTGAGGACATACCAGGTCACGATTGAGAGTGCCTGGGTCCTGATGTACTGCACAACATGGCGGAATTGGAAGGCGGTTGGACATCTTGGATCATACTCTAGTTTCGATTACTAAACAGTGCTCTGTGGGTCCCTACGCTCCCGAATACTGGGGCTGCTGGGAGCTACCGTAGTCTAACCCCCATTTCCGCTTTGAGGTCGGTTATCGATGACGATTAAAAAAACAGAGTGACATTCTATGACTAAGCGTAAAAAATTAATAAACATCGAGTGTAATGATGCTATCTCACTTCGGTACACAGTCTACATTTCCACATTCTGAGTTGTCCCGCCCCACCCCTATATATGTGTGTGATACTCGGATTTGTTTGTTTTCTGCCAATTGCTCGGGTCTGGTGGGCAGCAATTGGTCCTGTCAAAAGGGAGGGTTTGACCTTTCGAGTTCGGGATCCCAGTACCCTGGGCGATTGGTTGACCACAACGTGTGTGTAAGTCGGAACTGGTTTCGTGTTTGGAACCAGTCCGACTTGGAGTTTGGTCCCTTTTGTTCCCCTTGGGTTCACCAACCATCTTGCTCACCTCACTAACCACTGCAGCATCGTGCTTACGCTTTCCAGAGGTGAATCCATCGTACCTCTTCACGGATGCCACATTTTTTTTTTTTTTTTGAACCAAGGGTCAAACAGTTTTGATACACCGATTACTCTCGAGTGGCCAGGAAGCATTGGGTGGTACCGAGTTTCTTAACGGATGTCCTGCCGTAAAAACTTGAACGATAGGACGGTGTACGAGTACTCTGTCATTGAGCTTTCCTCTC